TGTAGATGGGTGTCACATTGGCAAGCCTGCAAGTCTCTTTATAGTCAGTTTGGAAAAATTGACACTACTAGTAACTAAAGTAAATCTGATGATTTGTGCCCTAGAAATTACTTGTTCCCCAGAAAGTGTACAGGAAACTTGCAGACTAGCTCAAATTTATATTAAACAAAACTGTCCAAAGTAAGTCAGGGCACAAATTTGGCCTGTGACTGGATGTAAGTATTAGTACATTTTAGGATATTAAACAACTTTTGAGGTTTCAGGGCCTTACTAGGCTGCAACATGTTTTTTTAAAAATACTCCTGTGACAACAGAACTTATAACTGATGATACATACTTTTATATTTATGTAGAAATTTATGTTTAATGAAATTGCAGATGCTGACCTGAAACTATTGAATGTGATTGTTTTCAGACAATGCTCAGAATGGTCAGAATGATGTTTGATTTCTGACTCTTACATGTATTGGTTTAACATTTCCTTCCTGGGTGATGCAATGGTTGTTAGTTACTTTTCTGATTTTCAGCCGAGAGTTGTCATGCAAGGAATCTTAACATTAGGTAGAACTATTATGAAAGTATGAAATTACTGCACTCTGACTAATGTTCAAGTGCTACCTTTTCCCATGAAACGTTAAGTTCTTATGCTCTTAAAATATTCATTCAGGACCATTGTGAAGTGTATTTATGTTCCCGTGTTTTCAATTCTGATGTTCTTCATCAGAACTGCATACCACAGTTTGAGTTGCTCTGAAGAATAAGGGAGGAAAAAAGGTATTTTTTTATATTTTAAGTACAGTAAGTATTTTATATTAAAATGATTTGCTAACCCACTTGGATTTCTTAACATTCAAAGAAATATTGAGGAATGATAGACTAAATATTTGAGATGAGACATTTTTCTCTGAATTTCTCTGAATTTCTCTGAACTAGTATTGGAGGGCTGGTCATGGTCACTGGTCTATGTTTGGCTCTTTTGTTTGTTGAGGCTCTGATGTTAAAGGAAGAGTTGCAACAGCCTTTAAGTTAGGAATAGAAAAAGAACAAATGATGCTGCAGACACTCTGAATCACTCTTCCCCTTTGAGTTTTTCAGGCAAAATGGACCTGAAAGCAATTGAAACTTAACTTTTTCAGGCTCTTTCAAGAGAACTGCCCTTACTAAGTTTTAGATCACAATGCATGTCACTCAGGCAGACACTGGCAAAAACCAGCATCCACCTGGATGATTAACTGATCTACCTTTTTGGTGAAGGTATGTCTTAAAATCTTGAAAATGTTCTTTTAAAGGAAAAGACACTTACTGGTTCATTTAGATATGGGTTCTTCTGACAATTTGAGATATGTATTGCATTTGTTCTTTTAGGTGCTTACAACAATGCTGGCTTAGTTCCAATGGCTAATGTCATAGCTCCAGGCTTACCAGCTCCTCCGCCATACACTGCTAATCAAGTGGTATCAGGTAAAGCATGCATACCTTTAAAAATGTTGATGGTATTTTTTCCTAATTCATTGTTGTGAATGGATCATTCACTGCTGGAGTTTCATTTGCTTTTAAATAACAAGCTGTTGTTCTCTGTTTAGAAAATGAGGACCTTTCCAGCCAGGCAAAACCTTCCCAAAATCAAGGTAAATTGCAAATACACTTGGGGATTTTTGTGTTGATTGTATCTTTGGTTTTTTATTCAGAAAATGTAAACAACTTGTTTGTTTAGTGGGATTTTCATAAGCCTCGAAGTATTTAAATACTGTTGGAATAGGAGCCTTTGGGAGTTAAGAAAAAAATAATCTCAGGCGTTTGGCACTTTGAAACATTAAAATTAAAATTAAAATTAAAATTAAAATTAAAAAAGCTTTGAAACATTAAAATTCGGCCTTTTGTATTAGCTTATTGAAATTTTATATTCTTCAGCATATAAGTCTCTGAGAAATCATGTAACAAACTAAATCAAAATATGCTTTGCAATGTAGTGCATTGAAACACTTCATTAATATCTTTGCAGTTGTTAAAACTTTGGACATCTATTTGAAAACTTGTTCACATTTTAATTTCATATATTAGTTGCAATGGGAAGCTAGGAATAAGAGACACAGATTTTTTTGTTTATAGTGTATTGAAATCCATGTGTAGAATGTCTTATCCCAGACTGTTACATCTAACTATGTCTACCTGTACTTTTGTCTTACCCTTTAAATTCCAATTCTTTTTGCAGAAGAGAGAGTTGTCCACATTTTTTTGTCTTTACTTGCGTGGTATGTTGTATGCTTTGTACACTTAGTACAAATCACAGTAATAAATCCCATCATGAACTACTTATACAAAGGTTTTGATAATACTTTGTTAGGTTTGACAAATAGAAACTGAGAACCTGCTGACTGTTAAGTCAGGCATATTAACAAATACACAAAATAGATAAAATGACCATCATAAGTTTAGCTCCTGAAAATATTTCTTGGGAAGCAAAAAAGTTATGTTCTGTCTTTGTTCCTCTATGCCCAGGGATGGTTATACAGAAATGTTGCTGTTTCAAAGAATCACTTTATTAATACATACCCCTTTAAGTGTGCATGTATTTACAAGGTAGTTTATACAGCTAAATAAATACAGTGTAAGGAATAAAATATTCTCTTAGGAGGAGAAATTCAGTAACAGCTCTGAGTTCTATTGCAGATGTATTTCTCTAGTTATTATCTTGGCTGTCAGATTTAACAACTGTCATCCTTAGGAGAGTCTTCAGCTTGGAAACAGGATGAGGGAAAGACAGAATTCAGAGCCAAGCAGTCTGGGTTTAGGTTTTTGGAAAAGAACATGTTATATCAACTTAGGTCTGAGATTTTAAAGATTCCAGGTTTGGGTTTGTGTGTGTAGATGTAGAATTTGGGCAAGAGAGAAATATAAGCTGTTACAGAGTTATAGGTGATAAGTTTGACTGGTTGTATCAGTGACTTGCTGACAGTTGAACAGATTATTTTAAAAGTAAAATAAAGCACAAGGGTTGTTTGAGAGAAACTACTCATTAACACATTCATCTTCCACAGGAAAATAGATAGTGGCATATCAAGGCTCTTGACATGCCAGTGTTCATAAATGCAGCTTTTTTCCATCAACCTCCACATCCCCATTCGCAGTGTGCCTGCCTGTTTTCCTCCAGCTTGACTGATGTCTCCTTGACTTACTTTGTAGGATTGATATAAGCTGATATTCCTAGTGCCAGGTGTTTGCCTCAATTATAGACACCTGTCTTCAGACTTACAGAAATATTTGATAAGGTTAAGTGCCAATGTCAGTTTAATACTGTAGTGTGATACATGAACTTAAAAGTGTACCTTCTTAGAATCAAAATCTGAAGGAAACACAGTGAAGAGAATGACCTGATTTTGAAGGAGAGAAAAATACCAGCACCTGAAATCAGCTTTCTTCAGTTATTGACTAAACTTCTCTGAAATCATGATACATTGAATTAACTGGTTCTGAAGGAAATTCTGACCTTCAGTGAGAGTGGATGCAGAGGACCCCAGGTGATATGATGATGATGAAATACTAGATCTGGTTTGGGTATTGCCAGATGTTAGCTACCAGAGGGAGGGTGTTTACCTGTATCACTTAGACATTCTTATGGAGTGTATTTGAGTATCTCACTGTCTTGCATGAGATCATGAAGAGGTGGCAGATGTCAGAAAGTGTTTTAAAGAGGAGTGGTAGCCTACGTGATGTACAACTTGTGTGATGTGTTTGTACGTACCTTTTTGTTTTGTTTTCATAGGCTTTAGTGTTCACTGTTTATATACATACATTGTATGTTAGCTGTTGGCTGTGTATCATATTTTGAAATGCTGTATAAAATGTGTTTGTGTTGATTTCAAACATTTCTGACAGTTTCAAGTATTCTTACCAGTTTTGTTTCTTTGCAGCTTTTTCTGCACAAGCGAATCAGCTCTTTACTCCTCATGGTTCTAATCCTTCAACACCTGCTGCTACTCCAGTCCCTACCCCATCACCTGTCAAGGCAATAAGCCATCCATTAGCACCTGCAACTCCACTCATCTCTGGGATGAACATGTCTACCCCTGTCCTTCCTGTTTTCCCGGGACAGGTCTCCTCTTCCATCCACACATCTCAGCCATCCGCCCCAACCCCTACTGTCATCAAATCCCTTTCATTGCCTGGTGTTCCTGTCACATCTGTTCACAGTGCAACCTCTACCCCTGTCCCTGCAGTTTTTTCTGGGATGGCTTCTATACCCACTGCTACGCCAGCTCCACAAGGTTCTTCCACGCCGTGTGCCACACCTGTGCCTAGTGAAGCTTTTGCATCTGCTACTGCACCATTTGCTGGCCTCCCGTTCTCTGCAACCTCTTCAATTGCTTCTGCTAATAATCCCACTCCATTGTCATCAGTTTTTGCTGGCCTCCCTTTGTCCTTGCCTCCCAACACCCAAGGGATTTCTAGTCCTGTTCCATCTACAATTGCTAATTCCCCTGCCACTACCATTCCTGGTTCACTTAGCTTGCCTAACCCAATTTTGTCTGTCTTAAAGGGATTTCTGACATCAAATGACACTTCATTAATCAATTCATCTGCTTTACCTTCTGCTATGACAAGTGAGCTTGCTTCTTTATCTGCTCTTGCTAATCAAAGCTCTGACCCTCCCACTTCCTCTGTCAACAAATGTTATACTCCATCAGCCACCCCCACCCCACAGCGTTCCTCCACACCTGGGCTGGCCATTTTTCCAGGTCTTCCATCCCCATCTGTGGCCAATTCTAGTTCCACTCCTCCAACATTGCCTGCACAGTCACCTTTAACCACTTCACCATCGATTATGCCAGTCAACTGTGGCTCATCAGCCTCCCTCTTGCATGCCACAAGCCCTACTAATCCTGATCAGCAACTCTCATCAGTCCCAGCTGCCACAAGTATCCCAGTTCTGGTCAAAACAGAACCCATGAGTCCTACCCTCTCGGCCTTTAAAGGTCCTTCTCATTCAGCTGGCCCTTCTCATGGCACTATGGGACTGTCAGCGCTCGGGCGTGCATACACCTCAGCAGCTTCAGTGCCAGTCAGTTTACCCAGTTCCCTGAATCCAGCGCTGTCAGGTCTCTCCTCTTTGAGTGCTCCTCTAAACAGTTCCAGTTCTCTGGCTTCCATTTCCCTTGTCCCACATGGCTCCTCTGCTCCCATTGCCCCTGTGTTCAACGGACTTCCTCCTTTTACATCTCTAACCAGTAACTTTGCTTTTACTGGTAATCCAGCACTTACGCCACCCGTCACTCTCCCAGGGTCTTTGTTAGCTACTCCGTCTACAACTGCTTCAGCCGTGTCTACCCCTCATGTGAGTTCCACTGCTGCCGTACTCTCAGGACTCGCCGCCTCAGCAGCAGTCTCTGCTCCACCCTTCTCGCTTAACTTGTCCAGTGCCGTCCCTTCCCTTTTTTCTGTTGCCCAGGGACCTCTGGGATCATCAAACCCATCCTTCCCTGGTTTTCCTGTCTCTAACACACCCTCTGTCACTCCTGCTCTCCCTTCTTTCCCTGGCCTCCAGGCATCTTCTGCAGTAGCAGCAGTTGCACCGTTGCCGGCAGCTGCCACAGCCCCATCTCCGGCTCCGGTCCTGCCAGGGTTTGCCTCGGCCTTTAGCTCAAACTTCAACTCTGCACTTGTTGCACAGGCTGGGTATGTTTCTGTTTCTGAAGGAGGTCAGAACCATTTCTTTTTCTCTTGAGCAAAACACTGATTTTACTTTAGGCGTAGACTTTATTTTCACTTAGAGTAATTACAGTTAATTTTTAGACTTAGTTCACCAGTAGATTTCTACCTGTCTTTAGAAACTGATAGAGTAGTTACTAAATACTATGTCCTCAGTAGTCCCCATTTATGACAGTATAATCCAGTGAGGTGCCGAGTGATCTTATTTCTCAGATGAAGATACTTGGCACCTCCTAGGCTTTTACAAGAATGGATTCCACGTGGGCATCCATTGACACATCCAGGTAACAGCAGACAATATCTTGGATGTTCCTATGTTTTAAGGAAGTATTCAGCATTAACTTTTTGTCTGTAAAGTTTTTTTGTGTGCAAATTGTAGGCACAGCCAAGGTACAAAAATTTCTGAGTTCCCTTCTTAGGTATGCTCCAGACAGTCTTGGTTTGTGTGTGCATGAATAATTTGTAGATGGGTAGAGACTGGGCTTCTGTTTGGAAATTCTGGCCTTTATAACGTTTAGAAAAAGAGGTGCTTTTCTAATTTATATAGACATAAACTTATAGAAAGAAAAACATAAGATAAAACATGATGCAGGTGTTCTTAATAATAGCCGCACCTTGACATTCTTTCAGCTTGACTTCTGGACTACAGACACCGGGAAATGCAGTTTTTCCTGGTCTTTTATCTCTCCCTGGTATCCCTGGCTTTCCCCAAAGTGCGGCACAGTCTTCCTTGCAGGAATTGCAGCATAGTGCGGCTGCACAGTCAGCACTACTACAGGTAACATGCCTATTTGTTAATACTGTTTTGCTTCTAGTAATCATTTGAGCATGTACTTGCGTGTTAATTTCTTGGAATTAGTTTAAGTCAGTAAATGATTAAAACCCCTAACCTCTTGAGAACCGATTACAAAGATGATGATAAAGAACAACTCATATTAGCTTCTTACTCAAGGCCAATATACAGTGCTTCTGGGTGTTATGAATGTGATTAAATCCTGTTTGAAAACTCTTTGTAAAATGGGGAGGAGTAAAAGAAAAAAGACATGCAAGCGAAATTTTTGCTAGGTGTGTGTTAAATCTAAGGAGCTGACCATGTAGTTACAAAATCTTTGCTCAGTTCCAGTCTGACATTTTAATACTCAAGATTTCTGTGGAAAATCACCTTTTTGTGAGTTATGTGGCTCTCTATGCACGCAGTCAGATTGTCTTGAATTTGTATCTGCTGTGGTTGTGCCTTTCTCTTGATAGTTCCCACAAATACAGTTGTAATATAAGTTTGAGGTGGCTTTAGGTAATGTGTAGTTTCATCAGCTCTTGTCCATGAAACAACTTGTTTCGGTCATCAACCTACGTAAGTTAACTGAAACTATCATCAGAGTTTGTATTTAGATGTTTAGTTTGCCTTCTGTTAAAAACAGCCTCTGTACAGATTAAGGATTCTGGTAGGAAATTTGTCCTTCTCTACAAAATACTAACAGAGGCAGTTGAGTGTCTTGAATTAATGTTTTGTCTCTTCTGTGACACACCAGTTTTTGAAATGGAGCATGTGTCTAAGTACTGTTCAATATGCAGAATATTGTCAGATGTCTTCTGAGTATCAGGGGAAATAGTTTGGAAGAAGCAAATTACTTAATCTAGACCATGCTGCTTTTGCAGCTCAGGAATTTATTTATTCTGCAGAAATCTCTGTACGCAGATTGCATTGAGGAAATGTCAGTTTTCTTATTTACAAGTTCCAATCACTAAAATTAACACTTAGCTACTCAAGCAATGAAGATAAAGAAAGTTCAAAGTCAGTGAAATACTACAGCTCTTGATTAAGCTATGCTTTCCAACCAAATCAGCTGTGGCTTACTCCACTGGAAAGTAAATGCCATTAACGCTTCTTCATTTTTCCTCTTAATCCAACTGCTTTCCTCATTCTCTGGTATTTCAGAGCAGTAGTTGCACTACAGTTTAACATCTGTGCCTAGGTGCATTGCTCATCTCTGTTCTTTGCATACTTCAGATTATACTTTGTTTGTTTTGGCTTGAGTAGGACTGGTATTGTGCCTGAAATTTTGCTTAACTTAGATTTTTGTTTATTTCTTTGTTTTTATCAGTGCTGTTTCCTAACTTCTTCTCTTCCTTGAAGGCACATTCTGCTTCTGCTCTGGAGAACTATACAGCTCAGCCTGAAGGTTTTGCTAACTATCCGTCAACACCAGGAACACCATTTTCATTGCAGACAAGTCTGCCCCAGAGTGGATGGCAATAAATACCAGACATTTTTAAAGACTGAGGTGGTTGCTTGACAGAGCCTGATGCTATTCAGTTTGAAGGCTGTCTCCGTGTTAGTGGGAGCATGATCTGAATTGGGGAAAGAGGGGGAAAACATGAGAATAAAATGATTCCAGGAGGCTGTGTCAGATGTCAAACCTAATTTGTGATTGCATTTAATTGATTCAGGGTCTGATCCTGTGAATTGCTCAGCATCCTTGACTCTCCTTTTAGTTTATGAGTTGAATGTTTGGCGTCTTACAGGTTCAGGAACATTCAAACAGGCGTTTATGTAAATAAAGCAATTGGCTGTCAAGCTGAATGGGGAGGACAAATATACTTAATAGTGTGTATAAGCACCTGTACTTCTGTTATATATGGTATATGTGGGTAATATAGAATGAGATCTAGACTGAAACTAGATACTTAAAGCTGTAGACGATCTTTCATCTAGATGCACGCTTCTTGTGTGTGCATAGATCAAGGTCAGTTTATGGTTCTTCGGATCTTTTCTTCGTATGTGTGAGGATCTCCTGTTAGCATCAGCAGTATGTTAAGGGGAGGCTAGATCAGAGGGGTGTGGGGGCTTTCTTACGCTTTGAGATATTGTCATGGGCTTGCTGCTGAATTGAGTACTCCTTTGTCCGAATCTGAACAGGAGAGCTAGGAAATGATGCTGTACTGTATGTGAGTAGAAGTGGATTATGTTTTCCTGGAGTATGGTTTAGCTAGCTGAGAGTATGTTTTTCCAAAGTATATAAAAGCATTTTAATTTGCCTCTAAAATAAAGTTCCAGAACATTCTCCCTGCCCCCACACCTCTCTGAATGAAATAATTGTACTGCGGATAGGCTGCCTATCCGGCACTTTTGACTGCAGATTTTGTGAATGTTTACAGACATATGGGTCAAGTTCTTCTCTCCCTTATACTCATAAACTCACTGGTTCTCTATATACTTTTCAGCTATAAACCACAACTTGATGGTGCTTATGTTATCCTGTGAATATAAGTGGGAGCAGAATTTGGACCATGGATTTTTTAATATTTTTCCTTGGAAAACGTACATGATTTTAAAGGCATATAGCTAAATTAACTATTGGTTAGGAAGGGTTTTGATGCAGCATATAGAAAGGTCCTGCTTTGTTAGTGAAATTCAGTTGTGCACTCTTCTAATAATGTTAGTACCTGTGGCAATGTGTAACACATCATTGAATATCATATATTTAAGATAAACTCTGGATCATGTTCTACAGACAATAGAGATGAATGATATTCAATCCTGTGATTAAATTAAAATGTAGAGGATAATACTGTAATACTGTAGAAAAGCTCTGCACCTAGAGTTTTACTTTTTTAAAGATGAATTCTGCTGGGAAATGTTGCTAATGTATTTTCTTTCAAAATGTGAACAAACTTTTTTAGAACATTAATGGAAATTCCTGTATTGGTTTTTAACACAATTTTTTTAAATAAAAAGTTTACAGTCATGGCAAAAAGGCTTTGCTGACTATTTACATATTTGCCTAAAATACAGATGAATAAACTTGTTTTTACTAAGACACTTCCTAATGTTCGATCTTGCTTATGCTGTTTCTTTGTGATGCAGAATTATATACTGAATTATAAAACTGGTTTCCTAAAGAGTGGCAATAGAAATAGCCTGTGAAGTGTTTCGATAAAAAAAATAAAGTGTCCTCGATACTTTGTCAGCAGTTGGGTAGTCTTGCATTTTAATAACCAAATTTACATATTACTTTAAAGATAAAATCATATTGCACTTTTCCTTTTTTTTATATTGTGAAACCTGTTGAATTCTAATGATTCTCCACTTCGAACTGCTTTTAAAACCGGTGCCTTATATCTTGACTCAAGAAATCTGTAGAAAAAATCTCTACCATCTTTCATTATACTTTCCTTCTCATTCTTTTCATTATTTGTTCTTTGTAGATTTGTAGATCAATTGGAGAAAGAGAAAATAAAAATATAAGTAACTTCTCAAGAGCAAATTGGCTTTTGTCCCATAGATGTGAATGTAAAGTAATTCAAAGTCAGTAAGCATTTTGTAACTTGAGGCGCTGAGTTTGATCTCCCAATTTGAGTCCTAGTTTCCCTGCAAGCAATCAAAGTTTAAACTAATTCACATTACCTTGTAGTCAAAACCAAGTACTAGACATCAGCTGTTACGCAGTGTTTTGTCAAAAAGCAAGCAGTTTGTATGTCTGTTTCTGTAAACATGTATTGAATGGTCGGGGGAGGGTGTGGTTTTTTTCTGTCTGATCAGCAGACAACTCAAGAGATTCCTAAGAGACTCTGAAGCCCTGTTTCTCTGAATTTAAAAAAAAATTAAATGTGAGTAGTAGTGAATATCCACTGTATTAAACGCTGTTCTCGTGAAACAATGTACTTCCTAATTGGTGTATATGTGCTGCCATTTACCCATAAAAGAGTCTTTCATGCACAGCTGGTGTAGTTTTACATAGAAGCTCATCATCAGACAAGTGAACAAATAGGTTAAGAAGCATTTTTTGTCTAGAATGGGCTCTCTGGTTCTTAATCATATTGAGCGGGATTTTGTAAATTGAACTTTCCAGTGGTTAGGATTAAGGTAAGTTTCAATTTCTTAAATACTTCTTCTGATGTAAATTTTAATTAATTTTTTTCTCTTTAGGAATAAAGTCTGTGTTCTGCATTGCAGCAAACTCCTGTGACCCAGCCTTGGAATTTCTGAAGGGGGTGATTTGTCCTGAGCTCTTTCATGCTTACTTGAGCACCATTTTTAAAAAGCCAAGGAAAAGTCTGTTCCTGAGGCAAACCATGCTGGATCTTACACTGAACCTGTGCTGGGAAGGGGCTGTTGCTGTATGACTTAATTCTGGACTAATTATCATTTTTTCATTGTTAAAGTTGCCTATTACTGTTACATTTAAGCTATGTTGACAGACTGCAAAGATAAGGTGTAGTGAAATGTTCTTAGAAATAAAACCTTTATTCAGAACAACTAAGAACATACTGGGATTGTGTTTGTAAATGCAAGTTTCACTATTTCTTTCAAGTGCTTTAATTGCAGCTGTTGTGAATATGAGAGAAATAGAGCAATTTTCTGTCGTCTTCTTCCTCTGATCTGCAAGTGAATGTTATGAGTTTGACTGGGCCTGGAATGAAACTTGCTGTGGTACGAACGTTCTCATTTTCTTGCAAATTGCCTTCTTTTCTGGACTGAGATGGGAGCAATCCCTTTGACTGTCTCTCATATTTACTCATGCTCTAGGAAAGTGTAGCCAAAGGGGTGCCTCTTGTTCTCTCCCCACCTTCAGCTATTGAAAGCTGATGCCATTCGCACAAGGAGGAGGAGCAATATGGAGATGTTCCTACAAGCAATAGAATGGTACTGTTAATCTCTATGTTCTGTCCCTTCTAAATTTTGATCTGGGGGAAAGGAATGAAGAGCCTGAAGCAAATAGGCTAGTGTCTATTCTGGGGGCAGAATTCAGGGCCAGGAAAGGACTAGGCTGAGAAATCTTTAGGGAGTGGACATATGCATGGGAAGGGAAGTCGTAAGGGCCTAAAAAGGTCAGAAAAAGACAAACTGAAACCTGCAACTTTGTTATATGCAAATCTTGTGTGAGGACTGCCTGGGGACTTTTTTGATGACTTTGGGATTGCCAGTGTTTAGAAATGGCTGTGTGTAAGAATTCCCATTCTGGTTTTAACAAACTTGAAGGAGGTGCTTGGTCTGTAAGACTAAGTCTCTGCAGCTGGATGATGAGCTAAGTGGGAGCAATTGGACACTTCGGAGAAATTGTAAAAGACTGGTGCCATTTGCAAATGTAGCAGTTGGTGCAGAGAAATGTTGGAGAATGGCCTGCTTACAGGTAAGCACCTAATCATCATGCCTCACCTGAGCCTCTGTGCTGCTTTCGGAGAAGGTTGAAGGCTTTAGCTACATCAGCACGCTGCAGAAATAGCTGAGCCCCCACCGACCCAAACCACATTCTTATAATGTTGCTTCTAAGTGAGTAAGTCCTGCTAAAGTGGCTTTGGACTCAAAACTGGTTTTCTTTGTGGTACTGCTCTATGACACAGGGCTGCGCCAGGCTGTTCAGCACCGGTGAACTTGCAACTTGTAAACTGCTTTGCCCCAGAGCCCTCGTGTATTTTCTTCCCTGAGTGTTTTATAGCACTTCAGGACATGAGTTATCCACATGCCCCAACATAACGCCAAGGAGAAAGGATTAAGATTGCCCTGCCTTCGACTTCAGATTTTTGAAATGGGGAATGAAAGCGCAGCTGAAGTTAATGTGGAAAAACGAATACAGTGATGTTTCTGAACATAAAAGAAAAACACCATCTGCTTTAGTCACCATTCAAGGGATATATTTACAGACACCTCAGGGAATCATCAATAAACAGCAGGGAGCAATTATTTCTGTTGGATTTTAATGTGTTTTGCTCATCTATCTGATGGTGTAAGCAGCTGTGTAGATTGTGGCATTCAAATGGCTTGGAATAAACTTACTTTCAATAAAACTGAGTTGCTCTAAAATTAAAAAAAAAAGTATGTTGGGGCAGTTTTGCATGTTATGTTTTTGCTTCTGAAATAATTAAAGCACATTTTTCGTCTAACTCTTCACCTTTGCTCACCTCCTAGTAGGCATCTGTCCTGAACAGGCTTGATATTAACAGCTCAGTGTGAGAAGCCAAATAATGAGGAAGATGCTACAAATGACTTCAAATGGATATTGTCACATATTTGGGAGGGTTTTGCAAAAACCGTGTCAGTCCCAGTTTTGCAAACTCTTTGTGTTTGTGCTTTTTGCTGTGATTTAAAACATCCATTCAGTGGTGTAGTTTCCTCTCTGTGAGGCTGAGAAAGGATTCTCTGGGGAGCAGTCAGCTTTGAATGACCCATCTGGGACCAGTGTGATTACTGACAGGGATGAAGACTTAAGTGAAATGCAGCTGGAGTCAGATCTTCACAAAGATATACTAGGTGATGGATGCCCACAGAAAACAGCCATATAATTAATGCAGCTGTGTGTCAAACTCATAAATTACATATGAAAAGCCACCTTTCATTTTTTTCTCAAAAAGCAACGGATTTGTGTCCTTTGAGAAGGCTGTTCTCTGCTGCTGCAGCTTTTGGAAATGGCTTAGTCTGAAATGCTATGCTTGGTTTGATTGTCAATTGTAAAAAGTGTTTTGTGAAAAATCTTGTTTGGGAGAAATTTTTAAGACTTTGGAGCTGAAATGCTTCTACTGTGGTTTTTAGGTTATCTAGCACAACAGGGTTCAACCTATTGTGATGTACAGTATCAAGAAGTGTGTGATGAGCTATTCTACACAG